CAGATTGGTTTAGACACATTTCAGCAAATGGAAGTGATCCATTGTCAGGTTCTTTGTGTGCAACAGCGAGAACGTCTGAAGCCACATAGCTGGTTTGATTAATCTCAAATGTCTTTAGTGTGACAACAGCTATATTCGTCTTTACAGTGTTTGATAGAAGTTACAGCGTAAGTCAAAGCTAATGGCAAGCCTGGCCAAGAATTCAGAAGCACAAACACTACATATGTGGAGTTCATTATTGCAAACATTGGCAAATCTCATGCAGAGTTGGAGTTTGCATTCTGTTAAGTGTCTGAAACTGGAGTGTTTATCTGAACTACCCAAACCACTTAATTCTGCAATATTTGGTTGGAGATCTCATGACATTTCACATAGTTCCTGCTTCCATTCAGAACACTCACTCTCTATAGATACAGCGACATGTATATACATGCCCATCCACCCTGTTTATGAAGGTGGTCTCAATTAGATTAACTGAAGAAATGTGTAATATATTTACTACATGCCTGTGCAATCAATTGCATGCTTCAATTTATTTATCAAATGCCTACACTCTTTATTGTATATTTATGACTACATCACCTAATCACTCACTACTCCATCTCACATCTCCCCAGGACTTACTCTAACATTCCAAATCCAGCTTGTTTACTCTCCGCCCCCGGCCCATCACACGCGCACACACACACTGAGATCTTTACAGTTGGATTTGAGGTTGACAAGACATCTGACATTACAGGCAGAGGGATATGGAAAATATCTCAAATAATAATAATAATAATATCTACCTCAGGAGGGCGAGGAGAGTAATTGTTGTTTACATTGCATCCAGCCATCTCAAAGTGCTAACTGTAACTCAGTGGCAAAATGGTAACAGCTGCCAATATAGCCTCAATCTGAATGAGAATTAAAGAAAATAAGAAACAAGAGAGGAAAAGCAAACTCTCTGTGAGAGTTGGTGTGTGTTTCTGGTGTAGCTGGATGTACCAGAACACAAAATGTCAGCTGATTCTCTCAATTTACTATAGTAAAAGGTATAGTAAACAGAAAACAAGTCACAAGAGATACATACACAACAGGAATGATATAAAAATATGGCCTCTTTACAATATTCAAGAGAGGTAGGAATCTTTGGTTGTTTTTATTTATACGAAGGCAAACCAAGTTCCTGGGATCTGAGCACTCTGGAATTTGGGGATAGTTTACAGTTGTATCCAACTCCTTGATTATCTTCTCACTCTAACCAGAAGCATTCTGTCCAAACAATCATTTACTTTGGGGAAGTTCAGCTCCAGAGCCTTTGCTTCTTGGCTACACCTCTGGTATTTAGGAAGTGTGACTGTGGAGGAGGCAAGTGGATGAAGTGTTTCACTCTGTATCTTCAGGAACAATTGCTTATCATAATAACCAGACCAAAAAAAAAAAGGATGCTAATGCACATATACGAGTATGAATCCATACATTAACAGCATGAGACCATATTATTATTCCTGCAAAATGCATGCCTGAATCACAAGAATTCAAAGGCATTTCTGTTTCAAATTACTTCTTAAACAGTATGATTTGTCTAACATATTATTAAGGGCTCTTCAGAGGAAAAGGGAAAAAATGGTTTAATAGCAAAGAGCATATTGATTGAAGTGTAATTTCTATTATCACAGCTAAATTGTATTTTCGCATGCAAGCTGGAGCCTCGGTAAACAGAGATTATTTTTGCATGTGTCCCCTTAAACATATTGTTGCTCATTTCTGTGCTTTGTGTTGTGTCCATTTTGTATTAAATTGCAAATAGTAGTGCATCATGTACCAATACAGAATGTGATGTTTTTAATTAGAAGCCATTTCTCTTACAAGAGAGACACCCCCCTGCTATCACCCCTCAATGCATTCAATTTAAAATAACACTGTCAACATAAATACCCGTTTGAAGATATTCCTTATATGGGTTCCCACTAGCACCACCTAGATTATTAAAACTGAACGTATTTTTAAAATGCTCAACAGCAGCAGGGTTAGGCCACTGCCGAAAGTCAGTGGGAGTTTTAACATTTATTTAACTGGGAATAAAGACAAGCCAATGCAGGGTGTTTTTGAAAATCCCAACACTGGTGCATGTTTCATTATCATGTTCATTTTTTTTTTTTGGACTTCACTTACAGTTTGTCTACATTGCAGTTTGTATAGACATATCCACATTAGCTGTACTCACTAAAAAACAGACATGAGGACACAGCGACAAAAGCTTCAGCCCGATCCTGCCTGACCCCTCCGGATACACACATGCTTGTCAGCCTGTGCTGAAACTCACACCTCTGCATCCTCACATCTATTTTTATTGAACTAGCTAGATTACAGCTACCACAAGTATGTCTACATGTGCCCCCAGAGGCAGAAATTTTGCGTATAGGATGCGAACAATGTGCTCCACCCATTACGCTTGCTCCCACTGGTGCCCTGGCTCTGCTGTGTATGCTGATACAGAGGTGGGGCATGCCCCTCTTTATCTCCGCATCCTTCTTGTTCTCCTGCTCCTCAAAGGGGAGCAGGAGCAAGTAATCCCTGTGCAGCCCAGAGGGCAGAGGATGAATGGACTGCTACTGCATGCAGGTGAGCAAGGGGACTGGGACGCTTCTTTTTCAACCCTCCACCCCAAGATCATGTAGTCAGTAGTTTCATTTTTTCTTTTTAAATTGCTCTATGGTCAGTTTCACTCATTCTAGAACAAGAATGTATTGGGTTTGAGACATCAGCACTGTAATAAGTTTTTTAAAAAATAACTTTTAAAAAAATGCTAAGGACATTTTTAGTGAACATACTAAGTTTCAAAAATCTATTTTCTCTCCAAAACAACGAACATTCTGAACTTAAACCACATTACTATTGATCTTTTAAACACATTTTTGAACAGAAACATTTTGATGTACAGATGAGACTCATGAAAATATTTGTTTTCCTCTGCAATCAAATCTTGCAATATACATAGTCAATTTTCCTAGTTAAAGGGATGAATTTGGATACCAAAGACAGATAATTGAATGACTGGTTGCAAAAGAACTTCAATGAATTTAACCCTTATTTCTTTTCATAAGTCACCTGTGAACAGACCAACGTGTACTATTTCATTTAATACTCATAATTGTTTGAAACATGTTTGTGAACAAATTTTAGTGTATTGGTTGTTTAAAAACTTTACAATTTGCCTACTCACTATTCTGGAATAATAACTGGTCATTTAAGTCACATAGGGTACGTCTACACTTACCGGAGGGTCTGGCGGCAGGCAATCGATGTTCTGGGATCGATTTATCGCGTCTGGTTTAGACGCGATAAATCGATCCCGGAAGTGCTCGCCGTCGACGCCGGTACTCTAGCTCGGCGAGAGGAGTACGCGGCATCGACGGGGGAGCCTCCCTGCCGCGTCTGGACCCGTGGTAAGTTCGGACTAAGGTACTTCAAATTCAGCTACGTTATCAACGTAGCTTAATTTGCGTACCTTAGTCCGAAGTGGGGGCTTAGTGGGGACCAGGCCATAGTATCATTTCTACTCCCTCACTGGAGCTTTTTAAGCACAAGAATAACTGATAAAGAACTATAAGCAGTGAATAGCAACTATCAAACAACAGTGAAATTTTTTGATTACATACAAAATCCTTTGCAGTCATGAGAATTTGGGTATTTACAGTACAAACATCCAATTCCCAAGTATTTGGGCGAGCAAAATCTGTTCTCACTAATGTTTATGAATAGTGTTGAGAAGGGGGGTAGGAGAGAAGTCAACAAGACTATGAACATGGTAGAACCAAGCCACCATTGAAAATTCAAATGAAATTTCACAGACACTCTTTTTGCAGAATCCAAACAGAGCTAATGAGTGTTCCACCGGAATCTTACACTGGACCTATATCAGACCAAAAGGGCTCTAGGCAGTTGATGTCCAACAAAAATAGGGGGAAAAAATCAAGAATTACAATCCCACCAACAGCAATATCCGAGATGATTTTACTATTCCAGACTGACCGTGCTTAGTGCATATTGCAATGAGACTTAGAATAAATGGCCTTTTGTCCTTCCCTGGTGTATTAGTACATTAAACCTGAGAAGGTCATGAATATTACTTAGGATCTTCTCAGAGCTGAAAAGTTTAATCAAAGTTTACATCATTGGCTGCCTCTCTGTAGCTTAGTTTGTAGCAGTCCTGCTACATAAAGGTCAAGATGATGCTATTTTTGGGCAAAAGAACTAATAGTGAGGTCTATCTAGACTTTGGCCAGGCAGGCTCTGTGTAATTTTCTCTAGTGCTTAGTTTTATGAATTATCATAAATCCTGGCCTGTGTTGTCATGGATTCTCCCTGAGCTAAGGTTATCTATTGCATAGTAGCATGTGATGAAGACTAATGTTTATGAGCCAGGCTAAGAGACAGCATCCTCAGCAGAGACAGAATTCCCATTGATGACCATGCATTTAGTAGGTTATGGCCTTACATTCATGTTTCAGTTGACACACAAGTCAGCAACATTGCCAGAGGTCCAGAAGAGGAGGGCTAGCTTCATGGCTTGCTGCCTCCACACGTTCCCTAATACAGCTTACCTAAGGGCGTGATTCTTGAAGAAAAACAATTCCCATTAACTTCAATTAAGCGAAGACAGAAAATGAATCATTAAGGAGGATTCCAAAGAGAGTCTATCTTGCAGATGGACCTTTCAATTACTTTTAAAATTTAATTCCTTTTAAAGGAAAATTGGGGCTTTCACTTACAAGATGTTCTCTGGGCTTATCTCACCTAGAAGAGACTGAGTACCATAAGGTAGAAGGCAAAATTACAGTCAAGGCAACAGAAAGGCCTGACCTCTGACAGAATTTCTCATATTATTTTGGGTGCTATTATTAGCCAAATGCTTTTTTGAAATCTCTAACCATTAGCTCTTTGGGTGAAATCAGTCACACCCATTAGCCTAAACTCACATGCAATCATCATTAAAATAAACCCATTGAACTCACTTGATGTTCAGACTATCCAATCAAATGTCAGCTTGTTTGGCTCCCACATCAATAAACTATCTTGAATTCTTGCAAGAGAGAAATTCATTTCTGGAGAAGACAAATAAAAAAAAAAGACATTACGTTAGACTAGTGAAAGATTGCACATAAGTGACAAGCAGTATTGTGCTGGAAAACAAAACTTTCCCAATTGACACATCTATGGGGGAGTGGGGAGGAAATCACAATGTAATAAAGAGAGTAGGGTTATTATTGTGGCACAATAATTGACACCATTTTTTTTTCTATGCAGAAAACAAGGAATTTTGACTGTGAGCAGTTTTTGTTTGGTTGGTTGTTGTTTTTTTTCTCCCTCTCTTTTCTCCTCTGAGAAAAAGATTATGATTTTCTCCAAAAAAGAGTGAATTTTCTATTGTGGCAAAACACCTCCATTTTACAGGTTTGCTGAGGGCCATTAATCTGTGCCATTATTGTCACCAAAAGGTCATTTCCTGATGAAAATGAGGACATTTCACCTTGGTCAATATGGACAGAAGGATTTTGAAGCAATTTGAAGGAATTTGTTTGGGTGGTACTCCAGAATAGCACCTGTTTTTACACTTTTGGAATGGCTACTAATAGGAACAAATGAAGAATAGGGAAATTTGAGTGGAGTAGCAAGCCAAACTTCTATCAGTGAAATCTAATTAACTCCGGAATGGTCTCCCTGGGGAAATGGTGTAAGCCTGACCATTCCAAATATACTTGACAAGGGACTAGCAAGTATGTATGTGCAATAGGATTTTCAAGAGCGATTAGCATTGGCCTAACTGCTCCTACCGAAGGCAAAGGTAGCTTTACCATTAACTTCAATGGGAGCAAATTTAGATCTGTGTTAAGAGCTTTTGAAAATCCTACCCATTGAAAATAACCCTGCAGCGGAGGTGACAGTTCTCAGCTTTAGGCAGAGTTCCCCTCTACCCCCCGCTTTTTTTTTTCACTCCACTGGCAAAATCTGAGAGCTTTCCAAATATAATGTGGAGTAGGCTTCACTGCTTAGAAGACCTTAGTAACTTCAAACTGAACAATATAATAGAAAGAATACACTGTTGAAGACAATCCAGAACTAGAAGACCATGCACTGGATAATCTAATACACCTGTTTCATCTCTAAAGTCTATGATTGAAATACTTGCAAAGATAGCAGTATTGGCATTGGATACTCATGGAGTGAAAGCAGGTGGTGTGATACAGCTCTACAATTTTGTCAGCCCTCCATGGAGCTATGATTATGACATATTATATCTGTGTAATTATTAAGAGATGCAGACTGGCTTTAAGCAAATTGAGAAGAAAACTTGGCCCTGTTACAATATTAACAATTCAGATATATAAACCTGACCCTCCAACTGAAGTGAACTCAGCCCTGCAGTGACCTATTGTGTGAAGGCTAGCCTGTTATCCTTCATACACTCTGGCAGCCCATTGTGGAACAACCACAGTGTCTCCTAACTTTCAGTAAGTTCAATAAACCTTTTATGTAGTGAATAGTGCCCCTCTAAGAATCTACTTTATTTAGCCAAAGGCCAAACATGGTACACAAGCAAGACTCAACCCCAGTATCTAGCTGGTGGGAAGAGTGTGTGGAAAATGGGAGGGGGGGTGTAAATCTTTTGTCTGTCTATCACACCTGAGTCCATTTGTCTCTTCCTTCCAAGCTCCCTATTAGTAAAGTCCTCTTGACCAGGGACCCCTTTCTGGAGTCAGGTCTCTTGCCATCACCAAAAGAACAGTTCCTTTGCTGAACACAGCATCCCCACTTAGGTCAAACCACTGCAACTTCTTTACAGAGCAGCATGTACTGCCTCTGCAATCTGATCCACCTGCTAAAAAGTCTTTCTGCTCAAGTCAGGTCTCTCCTAGGTGCTTAGCACTATCAGCTTTCTCCCCTTCCAGAACCCCTTCCCTTCAGGGATATCCTTCCTAGACTCCCTTTCTGTATAAGCTCCCTACCCAGGTCCCATAAGAAATACCTGTCCTTAGAAGCCTCCTGTGTTTAAGAACTTGCTGACTGAGCCTTCATAACTGTTTATTAGGCCCAGGGTGTCCTTAGCTAATTGACTGCTCTTCAGCTACCTACGTAATTAACTACTCACAGGAGCAGCTAGAGAAGCTCATTCTCCTTAGCAGAATCTGTCACAGGTAGGCTGGGTACCTGACCCCATCAGATTTAGATGAAAGGTACAAAATGGTTACTGAGTCAGGAGGGTCTGTGGCTGCTCTGCAGCTCTACAGGAGAGACACGGAGAAGAGAGAGGAATTAATTGGGGTTGCAGTAGTGGAAAGACGTAAAAGAAAGGTACTGGAGAACAGTTTAGGGCAGTGGAGAAGGGGCTTGTATTGCAAGTCTGGGAGTGGGAGAAGGGCTTCCCTGGTAAGCCTACTCCATCAGAGTTAGTTCTTGCAACCACTAAACTAGAAGGCTCCTGTGACCAGGTCACAGGGGGTGTAGGAAGACTAGTATTTTGGAGACGTTGGGGAAGGAGACCCAGGAGAAGGTGAAAGGCTGTACTGCAGTAACAGCCACAGGACTTGGGGTAGAAGGACAGGCATCATTAGGTATGGTGGCTGAAGCAAATTCCATAGTGGAATAGGAACAATGACAGAACCAAGCAGAACCAGGGTGTGTTGATGGAGGACAGGGACACAAGTTAGGTCCCTGGCTCACCCCTGCCCCAGTGGTGGGGATTGAGTCATGAGGTCTGGCAATAGCAGCTGATGCAGAGGATAGAGGAAGTGGTGATGGAGGAGACTGGCTCACAGTGCCAGAGGAATGATGGAGAGACCTGGGTTGTAGTAAGCAGCTTCCTGTGTGCCCAGTGAGTCACTGGTAACCACAGGGGAGCCCGGTATGGGGCTAGTGGTGAAGGCACTCATTATTACTCATACAGAGCTTGGTTTGAAGGCTGTGCCCAATAGAGGTCACATGTGGACATGGAACAAAGGAAAGTGTGGGGGTTCGGATGAACTAGAGTAGAAATAGAAGTCGGGCAGGAGGAAGGGGTGAGGTTGGAGATGATCAAATAGATGATAATCTCCTTGATTAGGGAACAAGAATTTCCAAAGTGGCAGGGGAAGAATCCTTCATACATAAAATAAACCTGAGGGAGGCAGGGATGAGAAGTGGAATTTTACTGCTTGGGCTCTCTGGGACAGCTGCAGCTGTCAGTGTAGTGCAGACTCAGCAACTGCAGCAGCAGCACAAGGAACTGCTTCGGTCTTCTCAGGAGCAGAGGCCATTAATGCAGAAAAGGACACTAACCACCACTGGGGTGCACTCAGCCACCAGGTTTGCCATTACTAAGGGGGTGATGTGGGGCCAGAGGCATCTTGTGTAAAGATATTGATGCAAATGAGTTAAAGGAATAGTGGTCAACAGTCAGGGCAGTTGGAATGGAATTGGGGTGAGGGTACAGGGTCGGATATCTGGGGTTGGGTGAGGAGGGATATGTTTTGTTTGCTATACTTTTCCCTAACACCACCAATGCCAGAGAGATGTTTCAACAGAGATTGTTATTTTAAAAGGCAGAGGTTTGTATTTTTAAACCTAGTAATGGCAATTCAGCTGCCAGTGACAAGAGATGGACCTCTGTTTTCGGAATAATAATCTGAGGGAGAGCTTTTGGAAGCACTAGGGGAAGACTTGTGGTAAAAGGGCTTAGCAGCATGCTTCTTTAACTGCCCCAAACATAAAGTAACAATTCTCTTTAGAAACAATACAGTTCCAATCAATTGAGGCCTGGTTAAGGCAGGCGACAATAGTTGCAAAGAGAGGAAAAAACATGGGAATTTGGTACATGCATATCAGGGGAGATGGAAGGTGGGCAGAGGACAGCAGTATTGAGCAGGAATAAAGAGTCTCCTGAAGGAGTGGTGAGGAGACAACTGAGAAGGGAAGTAGAGGAGCAAAACTCCAGTGACCCTCAGAGGGAGAGGTGAGGATTGCTGGAGGGAGAGATGAGGAGGATTTGATGCTAAATAAGTAACAAGGAGGATGTGAGTTCGGTGAGCTATCCTAGTAGACCCCAATAGTGTCACCAGATGCCTGGTGGATAGGGAGGGGCTTCCTCTCCTCTGGGCTGCTCTCTTTGAGCCTTTACTTAGTGGTTATTCCCCCAATGGTGTTTCCCCATCTATCACAGGACCAGGCAATTGCATCTCCCCTCTTAATGAGGGGCTTCCCCCACTGTCCCTATCATAAAGAGGAGCTTTGAACGGGGAGAGGGTGAACTATCTGGAAATGAGAGGGTGCTAGTTCAGGTAAAAGAGATTCTCTGGGGCTGGGAACCCCAGATGCCCCCCCCCCTTTTTTTTCTTCCATGACCTCTCCCCTCATGTACAGAGTTGGGTAATAAATTGTCTCCTCTATACAGAGGAGATGGAGGCTCAGGAGTTACGTGTGGATGCAGGGTTTTGTCGCACCCTTGTCACAGAAATAGAGGCTCTGGAGTCAGTCAATGGATATTGGGGAAGGGGCTGGAAATGTGGAGGGAGTAGTAGGTCAGCAGGCAGGAGATGCAAAAGAGGATAAGAGAACTGGGGTTTGTTGGGAGAAGGGACAGGGGGAGCTGGTGGGGATATCTAACTTGGTCTCTGGAGATGGGTCATGTTATTTGATGTCACCAGCCAGTGGAGGGGTCACAGTCACTGGTACAATCCCCCAACCTTCCCCTCTCCCACATGCACAGTTTATCCCAAAGCCTTACAGACAGGGAAACAAACAGTTAAGACACACTGGTAAGAAATTAAGAAGGGGGTGGGTTTGGTGAGAACTGAAAGGGGGCAGGGAAGAGGGAGACTTGAGAGACTGGGCGGAGGGGATGGAAAAGTGCATGACATATCAATATTGCTATCAACCCGTGAGGAGAATGAGAGGCTGGGGATTTGCCTTGGGAGGTATTCCTCATTATGGAAAAACAGTATCTGACGGATTTAGTGCTAATAAACATTCAGCTACATTAATTAAAAAAAAACAAAATGTGAGAATCTAAAAATAATCATCATAGCAAAAGAATAGTTTTCTATAGTTTTTACTAACTATTGCACTGAGT